AATTATTCATTCTTTTTTATATACAAGTTATATTATTTTGGTTTCTAGAAATTAATTAATGTCTTTCATTCAACATAAATTAAGTGAGTTTCACACAGACCCAGCGTCAATAATTGTGTTACAAATTTTAACGTCAGCTTTGAAGGGTTAAAAGTGCAGATAACGAGTAAGAACGAGCGAATTATCATCCGCTGAAACATTTGGGCATTAAGCGTGTAATTAAAAACACGAGAAAAACGTAATTTGGCTTTCAAGAGTCGGCGGGAGAGCCGCGCGTTCCCGGGAAGACAGAGCCGTGTCATCGATTTCCGTTTTAGCCCAATAACCCCACCTCTCATTCACGCTACCGCTGACTTCCGCTCAGAAAGCACGAAGCGTTCCCTTCCACCCAGCGTAGTTCGTCATGTGTACGTGACAATAGAATCGTGAGGGTTCATGCATAAATGCGACGTAACAATAAACACAGCGGTGCCGGCTAAGGGCAAGGGAGATGAAGCACGGGAGGGTAGTGACCCTTCAAAAGCCGTATAGCCGGAGGATCAGAAACCGATATGAGATTCGGACCGTATATGAATGATGTATCGCGCTTCCACGCGCTGTACTATTTCTGTCGTGTTGTTACGTGAGCGCAAATAAGAAACCGCAAAAATGCTCTACTCAAAATGTACACTCGCATTGTACTTACATTGATGTGCATTCTCAAACTTGCCGAATACGTAATCATCACAAAAAGAAAAATTTATTATGAATTGTGACTTGTAACTTCGATTATTATAACGTACACAATGTAAAAGTGTCCCGTGTGGTTCATGACTTTAATTTAATATATTGCATATGAAAATTTATATGTTACGAAATGAAAAAGTAAAAATGCAAACGGTGAAGCAACAGCATGGCTATTATTGTATTTTATATATTGTACATATTGCCTATTTTAAAAAAGGTATTATGTATCTTTTTTATTTTTTACACTCTTTTTTCCATAAGTTTTTACGTAAGTTATTTGTAACTTCCGTGAAAAATTTATGAAAAAACGGAGTATAAAAAATAAAGAAAAAGAAAAATGACAATAATCCAATTGTCATTTTAATGACTGTAATTAATAAAAAATATAAAGATTACAAATTTTAAGACAAATAAAATCCTATAATTTGCAATTAATCAGTACATGTAAATTTATCATATATATCTCACATTTTTTGCACTCCTATCCTCCAATCAGCTTATATAAATCCAAGAGGGTAAAACGTTAAAGACGATACGCGACAGATGCTTTCGAAGAAAGTGTAGTAATAGTTTATGAGGTGAGTTGTTTCGCGCATGCAATCAGGGTAATGCTTATTCGAGAATTTGCCTCTTTCGTTCTTTCATTTTTCATTTCGTCCTTTCATTTTCTTTTAGGGTCAAAGATATTTCGACTTACGTCCCAAAAAAAGAAATGTGCATATTATTTTTTCATATCTTGCTCTTCGCATAAGATATTAAGACTTTTGCAGAATGGCGCAAGCTACACGGCAGAAAAGATACAGAGGGATATAGCATTTGATAAAATACGTTTTTTTATACACATGAGTTGTAATTTAAGTAAACACATTTAATAAAGATTTTTAGCCCTAATTTTTATTAAAAATTCAATTTCAAATTAAGATAACATTTATATATAGTTATAAATTATAAAAATAGGGTATCACGTATTGTATGCGTACATATTTTTCAATATTCAATAAAAATATAAAAATGTGATTAAAAAAGTATTTTGTCAATAACTGCATCATCAAAAGATGTCAAAAAATTTAATTAACACGATCTAGCGAGTAAAAAAAAATTGTGAATGTGCTTTTAAAACATTCTTGAACTAAATTAAAAATCGCGTGTTGGTTCGCTACTCTAATTATTTCAATAGCAATCGAGATCAAACGAAGTGTAACGCGCTACATATTTTTGAATGGAGACCAATGCATACTTCCATTCTCTTTATCGAGGTCGCTACGAGAGAGGTGAGGTGCCTCGTTTACAGAGTAAGTACGGCCCGTCTGCCGGATTAGATACTCGTAAACTCTTACAGGTGACAGGAAGATGAGGGACTTGGGACGCAAGGGGTGAAAAGGGGTGGCACTCAGGTCTGTGAAGGAGATGCGAAAGGCAGGAGGCGGAGGGGTTGACGGCACGCGGGGACCGAGGTTGCCTCGAGTGGCGAAACGGCTGAAAGTTCCTTTCATGTAAAGTAATTAACTACCGGCAACCGTTGACAAACACCTTACCCTCGTTCGCGGGCCTTCTGGCCTCGAGTGTCCTGGCGTCGTTTTCCTAGCATGAATCCACTGCCATCCCCTTTCAAGGGAGAAAATTTTTGTATTTTTCATCAGCCCTCCGACCTTTCGTTTTCCTCGCTGCTCTGGTCGCTAACTTGTCTGGCTTTATAGCCTGCGTTCCTTTTCGTTCTTGAGGCTTCTCTTTCTACATTAAGCTTCTATCATCTTTGATCCTCTTCGGCTTTTGCGCAAACCACTGGCCGAGGAAAATCGACCTCATCTTTTTATTTTATGAGGCCCTTTTATTATCATATATTCTCAACAAGAAACTTGTACCTCAAAGCGTTATAAAAATTGTATGCACGTGCAATTTTTCATCGTAATGTACACAGAGATTAGTCCCTTGCATACTTAAATACTAGCCAGAATAAGAAGAAGAACCGTAATTTGAATTGCAAATACTTAAATTAATAAAGGTTTTAGCAAGATATATATAAAATACTTTTATATAAAATAACATAGTTAAACATCTTACTTTTCAAACGTAAAAATACATACACCAAGATATTTAAGTACCTTTAAAACGACTATTATTGGGAACTTAGCTAGACTATAAGACTACTTATGATCTTAGTAGTTTTATCCATTTTCACCTAGAGAATTTACCTTCAGCTACAAACTTTCACATCTCCCAAGATATTCAGACTTTTCTGATCGTCTATTCTCAGGAGATACGAGTCTGTATTTTTAATCAGTATACGATGAGCGCCTCCATTTGCCCTTCCCTTTCTTAACTTTATTGTTCAGTTACCTTGCCTTCCACTACGCTGTTGTCTACTCCTTTCTGGTTTTCCACTACTTCGTCATCGGTGTCCCATCGGGCCAATAAGCGTCGAAGTTTCTACGTTAAGTGGATAACGGGCTTGACAAATAATTATGAACTTTGTACAACGTCGCCAACGTCATTTCAATTACTTAGAGATTTACAAATTACATAAATAAATTGATAAATTAATAAGAATATATATAAAATATGATCTATTTAATAATATAATAAAAGTTATAATAAATATACAAAAATATTTTATATTATTAATTATAAAATCTGATATAACCATTTCTCGGTTTAAAGTAGATCAGGAGATGCGGTAGTGTCTCCGGCCATGTTAAAAAAACTACTAGTTAATTTAAAAGTTATCATTATTGCAACTATATTATCACTTCCATATATATATATACATATATATATATACACACATGTATATATATAATTCAATTTAAAAAGTAATTATTCTTAATGCATAATCAATATTATAATACACTTTTTCATTCAGAATAAAAAATGTTACATTAACAGAATTAACATATAAAAAATGAATTACATACGTTACAAGATATTCAGTCCAATTATGTCATTTATCATATATTTGCATATTTCTTAATAAATGTATTATTGTATTATAATAAAAAAAAAGAGTAACTAATTTTTTCTATAATGCTGAATTATAATGTTGTTGGTATTTTTTAAAGCCTCAATCCATAATGCTCCGAAGTCTACAATGCTAAAAATCGCTTCGAGATCTTGGATAAAAAAAGAATTAACAAATCACATTTGAATAATTCGGTCAATTGATACTATTGGTTAATTCTTTCTCCGTCCGAGAATGAATCTAATCAGAGCGATTTCTAACATCGCGAACACTTAACCAATATAAAGATGTATATTGCAAAAAAGTTACAATGCATATAAATACTTATAAAAACACTCTCTATAGGTATAGAAAAAATATATTGTAGAGAAACTAGTAGCATAATTTACATACAATTAAACTTCAGTCATTACGTTATTTTTATCTCAGAAAACACAATCATAGGAAATCTATAAAAAAAAAACTAGAAACAAAAAAGAAATATTAATTAACAATGATGCAATAAGTTTCTATGTACTTTTTTGTTTAAGCTAATAAGAGATTTGGGTGAAAAAAGTATACAAAAAACAGAGAAAATTTCTTTAGGATGACCAGCACGATATCTCAGAAGCTGTATCCTGTTAAAGTAAATTATGTTAGATTAATAAAACCTAATTACAAATTCGTTAGTTAATAATAATTCTCCTTAAATTAGAATACCTCTGAACGAAACGGTCAATTCTAACGGTGATCTATCTTCGCCACCAGCTCTTTTCCATGACAAAGCGAACTATCAAAGATAGGGCCATGAGAAAGATGATGACTGCTGCTGCCACGAGAATAGCGCTACATCCTGTTAAAAATTCATTATCATAGATTTCTTTTCTATGTCATAATAATTGCATTTAGTATAATAATCGATATTATAAGATCTATATATATATATATTTGATTAAATAGACTTAAATTTAATATCGTCTATTTTTGATTAATCATATAATTAAATATTTACAATTATTCACCTATTATCGAATTAAGGAAATTATGCCAATTTCCTGTCAATTAAAAAATAAGAGGAAACATATATTTGACTACTCGTATGAGTATCGTTGATTGATACTCGTACGAGTAATCGCCAATTTACTCGTATCCTAATAGGCTGCTTAAATAAAGTAGAGATTAATCAGTTTTTCAATGACGATTTTTATAAATTTACTTGCTAATAACGTTTGCTTCTAATCGAGGAAATCTTCTGTTTTAAAATATTTAATCTTTTAAAATAAAATTTTTGTAATTTTAGAATTAAAAAGAATATATACGGAACAAGAACGTAGATTGATCACCAATGCTCACTTCGTGACTTTTTATCGTCGATTTTCTCTGTTATTTCGTTGCCCGCTGAGTCCACTGTTTCCCCCCTCAAAGAATTCCTATGGTAATCAAACTTGAACCGGTAAGGCGTTAAGGGCATCGGGTACGACGTGTATCGACCATTAATCCCTTCGGGATAGAAACACGTGGCCGGCGTGAGACGAGTTTGGAGAGGCGTCAACGGTATTTCCGTCCTATGAGTCATGGAATACGAATTATTGAATGAAAAAGGTCCATACGACCAACCGATATGATTTGGTGGCGTGATCATGCTGTAAGGTGGCGGAATCGCAGTATAAGGCGGCGGATCATCATTGCTCTCGTTGCTATTTGCGATAATCAAGGATGATGTTACCACGGACGTTGAATCACTTGAGCTTTCACCTATATGTGTGTTAAGATTTAATGCCTCGGATTTGTCCTGAAGCGATAGTCTTGATGACGAAACGCCTTGAACACGTAACTCGTTCATGGACAACCGCTCATCTGGTTGAACTCTTATGCATGTGTTTGATGTATCGGTACATGTAGCGGATAACAACTGCTCGCTCTCCGGGTTTGCCGAGAAATCTGAAATTTAAATCACACACACTCATCTATGATTGATGTATTTTCTTATTTAATTTATCTTTGATCAAAAAAATTATTTATTTTTGTCAATCAAATTTGTTAAAAAATTTGTTAAAACAAAACAAAATATAATAAGTTAAATTCATATAAAATTTTGCAGTAATAAAAATATTATATTTTTTAAAATTAGTGATCATCCTTCTTTTTTTATTCTTCTGTAAAAAAAATATAGTTGTTTTCAAAAAATATAGTTGAAATAATCGTTAATTTACAAAGTTTTAAAATTATTTTAAAATACGCAGGTGTTAATTATTTATAATACTTATATCGTGTTAATTAACTTAATTCATTAATACTACTTACAAATAACATATATATAGGCAAAACATTTTTCTAATTCAGTTAACAATATTATCAATTAAATTATTAAATTATCATTTATTAACACAAAATTACATTTAATGTTACGTATGAAATAAACATTATTTTTTATCGCTAACAAAAAAGAACCTACGATTATGTATATAAAATGTTATAATGTTAGAATAATTTTTTATAATTGCGTAAACAATAACATATAAATAATTATATATAAATAATTATGTTAATAAAAAATTAATAATAAAATACAATTTCAAAGTATACTTCTAATAAATATACATAAAATAAAACTGACTGATTTATGCTAATAATTACTTAGATTGAAAACCTGATTGACGTATGCTAATAAGTTGATATCGTTGTAAAATAAAAATTATTTGAGAATATATTTTCTTCTACTTCTCGATTGAGAGAACCGTTTCTATTCAAAACTGTTTTTATACATAATCAATGTATAAAATCCGTTATATGTTATGTAAATCGCTCGCAATAAAAATGTGAAGTACGCGCTGTTTGAAAAATAATCGCATGTATGCTGCATGTTTTAATATTAGCTTTCATTTACATTGCATAACTGTATCACAAATTTTTAATCTAAGAATTTTGTTGATGTAAGAATATTTTATATCATTGATGTAATAACACACTACAAAAATGTTTTGATTGTATCAACATCAAAAAGTACGAACAAAACAAATTAAATTAGAGTTCTGATTATTATTATTGAATTTCTGATTATGTCGGCTAGAATATCTAATAGATTTAATTATAAGTATCTGATTTATATAGCCTTCTGGTTGAATTTATTAATTATAATATGCTATAATATGTGTGAATATAATAAGATTTTTTTTCCAATGTGTATGAATAATATCTATAAGATTTCGTTTAAACAACCACATGTTATAATGCAGTTTTATGTTTCTATTTGTTTTACGCACAATTTCCTTATTTCAAGTGGATGTGGTCAACTCGTAAATTTATTACGCAAATACGGTATTTAATGTGAGTAATTGTGTATACTCGTTGTCTGGACACTTACGCTGCATACTCAATTAGTAAATATCTTGAGGCTGCTTTCATCCATGAAGGACAAGCCAACTTAACAAAAATAAAAACCTCGTTTCTTTTTGAAACTCAAATTTTCTGAAAATTATGGAAATGTGTGAAAAAAATAAATAAAAATACCTAAAAGTACAAGTTTCAAAAAATTCTTTACATTACATAGTTACCGCCTACATCATACCTTTAATTTACGAACGTAAGAAATTTTTTGATAGTTATTTCCTAGCAATTATGCTAATAAAGTATGCTTTACATTATAAGACTGAATGATGCATTTTAAAGCATAATTTTAAGACAATATTTTATAATTGCTAATAGATACGCAAGAGCACGTTCTCGTATCGTGCAGCAATTTTATATTTAAATACTAATATCACTTAATTAGCTGACAAATTAGCCGCTCGTGTATGTAGCATTTATTACATCGTCAAGTCCTTGAGAACCCATAACCAATATGTTACCATCCACTCTTAAAACGTAATAGCCAGACACTTTCTATTATCGTAAGTGTTAACGTGAGTCGAATTCCTATGTCTTTCGTTAAGTTAAGCACACGTACGTTTGTTTAAAAAAAAAAAGTTTTGTCCAAAGCATCGAACGCTTTCCATTCTGTAAGTACGGTCCATATTGTAATCTATTTATGGCTGAACAATGTTATCTCACTTGTTATAATTATTTCTAAATGTCTTATATTGTACTTTTATTTATTTTCATATGCGTAATGTATTCACATAAATTCATATGTCTTGACATACATACTAAGCAGAATAAAAGCTATCATAAAATTAAAGTCAAAATGACTCCAAAATGATTACATAAAAATCACTTTGCAATCAATAAAGACTCATTTTAATGTCATTTTAACATTATCGTCAGTTGTTTTGCTTTGGGATATATTTTTTAACACGTTACATTATGAATGTCACAAAATAATTCTTATAAAATATTTGCAATGTCAAAATACTTTAAATTTAATCAAATGTGATTGATCCTTGTATCTCTCTCTCTCTCTCTCTGTCTCAAATTTCACACACATCACATAAAAACAATAGAATAAAACTATAAAGCACAGTAAACTTCCACGTTAAACTTAACAGGTATATAACGCGCAAAACTTTCACGCTATACTTCACATTTTATTTAACAGCATTTCTCAGGAGTCATCTTAAATAATAATAGTATTCAACAAAATCAATAAGCGAATATTACGAAATCTGTGCGACACGGACAAATCGCGGAACCAATTTATTTCTTTTAGGTCAAGTGCGGTGTCAATATCAAATATTTGATGGAATGAAAATTCGCAAAAATTTTCCGTACGCGCATACCTTTTTCAACTTCCTTCGACATTTCTCCATGCTACGTACACGTCACGAATAACGACTGAGCGACAAGAATGTCGCGAGTATCGCGTGCGTCCGTGATTCGACTGACGATTACAATAACGCACCTGACTAAATGTACACAAGCACGCGTGCATGCAACTGCCCACGCATGCATAGATACGCGTGCACGCACGTGTAGCCGATTCCAAACCGGTGATAAGAGGTGCGTCGCGAGAATGATGCTTAATACAACTGAACGAACAGCGCGCGCGACGCGGCGAAACTGTGATCGCTAACGCGGCCAATCGGCGAGCAATACGAACGCGACGAGGGAGTGGACACGTGACCAGCCGTACCGATTCCGTAATATCAGAGAGACCTCTGTTAACCACCAACCATCCAAGGGTCATGGGTACATTAGTTTCCGAGTAAAAAGATCGGTAGAGGAAACACGCGTTATTATATTGACAAAATAAAAAAATTCCGTCCTCGGCTTGTCAAACAATTCCTCATTGTAATAAGTAATCCTGCTGGTCTATTCAAATTAACTATACGATCATACTTTTTAGAATTTTTAGAATAAACCTCTCTGAAATCTCTTCTTATCAAGATTGTCTCAATTTTCACTCTTTAATGTGAGATTCAATTCTAAAGAATTTAGTGAGTATCATTTGTCAATATAATTAAAAGAACCTTAAAATATAAAAAGTAAAACATTTTTCAGAAAAAAAAAAAAGATTTTACATTAATAAACAAATTTATTTTTTTTACTTGAGCCATTCTTTTTTACTTATTTTAATAAACAAAGAATACTAAAAAAAGGTTTTTAAATAAACTATTAGTACACAAATTAATTATGTTTTGGTCAAACAAACAAAATTATATAAGCATCGTTAAATAGATAGAAGAAGCATAGATCGCACGTCAATATATTCTTGGAGCATTCAATGCATGTAAATAATATATGCTGTAAATCTGCTACTGTTTTTGTCAATGAAATAACAATTTTAGCAATATGTTAAATTTATTTCTAAACTTGACGTATTGCAAAATGAGCTTAGCAAATTAATGGTATACTGCAAATAACAATAAATATAATCTTGCTGAATTAGCATAATCGTGCAAGAAATCGGTTAAGGTCAACGCCCGGTTTAACGGGTGACCTTGTTTCGAACAAGAGTTTCAATTATCCGAATAGAGTCGTATATGTGGTTTCGAACGAATAGACATCGTAAACTTCATGTCGTTATAAAGCTTTTCGTGCGGAAAATTATATATCGATCAAGTTATTGGAGTGCAATCGGAAGTAATTGCATTCTAAAATGTGTGATACATCGCATGTAAGACGGAAAAATAAAAAAACTGTGTAAAACAGATATGGCTTCTTAAGCGTTTGAAGCCTATATTCATAATCGATTCTTAAAACTGTCTTAAATACAATCTTATAAACCAATTACAGAGTCGTATTATAGAAGCATTTTAAGACATGATTTAAAACAAGTTTAAAGTAAGAAACAAGTATACCGGTCATACAAATTCATTAATAATTGTTACTGTATACGATGAATCAGCGACAAACACTTGCAAAGGTATGAAAGAACTGTGATTACACAATTATCTTGAAATCGCTGACAATGACACAAAATGTAAATAATGTGATGACTATTAGCGATAGCAATAACCACATATCGCAAAACTTGTTCTTTAAATTTATTAATAATTTATTAATATTAAAATTTATTGATCAAAAACGATTCTTTTTTAATCTTATCTTTAATCTATGTATAACATGATGTGTATATACTTTTTGCATTATTAAAAGTACTATTTGCATAATGCATTCATTTACATTTTTAAAGAAATGTATTCCGTCCAATTTATAACTTGATAGAAGATGGAATATGATTTATACACATCGTGTAATGCTGTCTTTACTATTAAATTTATAATATCAAATTATACCTAATTTGAGTTATTTTAATAATTTCCATAGATCGCCACTGCTGCTACTCAATATGTCGTTAATTTTAAACTAAATGTTAATTATAGTTAAATAATTTAATTCAAGAAAATATATGAATATTGTTTCTTTTGAAACTAATCACTTAAATGAATTGATTTATATTTTAGACATACATGGAAATTAAAAATAAAACATTATTTAACTCAAAAAAAGTTATCATTGTCGCTTCTTTGATAATATTTAACAGTGTGCACGATTAATTATGTACATATATGTATAATATTATAGAAATAATATATTATAAATATTCAAATCTCAGGAGACCTCTCCCCAATGACCTTGATATATATTGTACACGGTTTCAATTTTCCGTATAATGTGTATAAATTTTTACGTTGCAATGACAAAACAATGGTTTCATAAAAATTTATTTATTGCTGTTTTTCGTGTGATTCGCATACCGCAGATAATATACACTTCACACGGATACGCGTTATATTCGCGATTACGTATCCTGCATGTCTTCTTATACAGACGAGACGATTCCTGCGAAACGACGCTCGTTCCCTATATAGCCGGTCCTTTTACGGTCGTCGGAATAACTCCGTCGTGATTTCTCACGGATTCGGGAAGACGCGTCCGAGCACTGGCGATTTCCTCAAGCCAGGTGTCATTCTCGTATGTTTTATTTCCGGAGACAGCCGACTGTCGTAAACCGACTACGGAATGAAACGTCATACTTTCGCGATATGCTACGCGAACCGCAACAATAAACGGCCAGTAGGATCTTTCACAGATAATTGGATGATAGATCCTGACACTTAAATTAATCGTGATGAAAAAATTATACTTCAAGTAATTTATTTCTAGTAAATATTTTTTTTATAATTAATACAATAATTTCATTAAAAAATCAGGTCATAGTACCGTAATAGAAAATATTATATATAGTTGTAATAATAATTTAAGAAATACAAGTATTTTCAATGTAATAAGAATAATAAAGTCAAATTAAATCAGCAAGTATAGGTAAAAAATTTAACAATTTTTAATCATATAAATTAATAAAATCATTCTCAGAACGTTTCAAACATTTAATTCAGTCACAAAGATAATAAATTAATAAATTAAAACATGATAAACAAGAGAATGCCGGGTAGAGGAAGCACAAAATCATGTGTATAACTATCAAGATGCAGAAAATATAATTTAGATTAAAAAATATAAAAAAATAATTTAAACAGACGCTTTCCTCGAATAAAATAAGTCCACAACGAATAATAATAATTATATAGTTTAATACGCGTCTTTTAAAAACAACTCGTAATATCAACAAATAGTCTAGCAGTTTATTGTATTATATATAGTATATGTCATTACCGAACACGTTTATACGAAATGCTATTAAAATTATAACTATAAGAACAGCATTTAATCTCCTAGGGTAGCTTTCAAGATGATTTCTCTCGCCTTTACCGCAACTGCGTTGATGACGTGGCGTAACGGGGAAAAGGGAAGACGCACTTTCCACGAACGTTGGTCATAAAAATGGGTTACTACCACGAGATGTGCACTACAGACGACAGCTTCGTCTACGTGAAACTACTCTCATAGAACATTCGCGTGTTCTGTCTTCTTTCTGTGCATGCCAGATGTATAACTGCTCACAGCGTATACATCTGCTGCGTGTCCTATAAGCGTACAGAACGTGCCTGTTAAAGTTTGATGTCGTATTCGATGCTCGCGTGTGCGTGCACGATGGACATCATATTTGGAATATAAACAGATAAACAGGAAACGATGACGTCGCGGCCACAGAAAACAATGATAAGTTAAGCGATTAAAAATATCATCAGTTGCTTCTTTTTCAAGATTTGTTATAAGTAATACATGTCTGCAAATAAAAATGCAATTGATGAAATGTGTAGACCTCTCAATTTGACTAACACGATCTCTTTAAAAACCTAAATTTAAAATAAAATTTATTTAAAATTAAACAATATATACGTATATAAATGCAAAACTTACTTTGCAAAACAAGTCTTATATTTATTATCAAAGATAATACTTACAACAAAAAGATAAGCAAAAGGCACAACAATTAATTTGTAAATCTCTAATAAATAATTAGAATATTATTAAAATTAAATATATACTAATATTGTATTATTTAATAGTATATACTGTTCAAAGCTCTAACAATATTAAATATACGCCGTAAGACGAATCAGTACATTTCATCGCAGAAAACATTGTGGATTACAAATGGGTCGCAATTTCAGATTTGTACTAAGTCTTTCATTATCGATTCTCATTCTTTGGCTAACAACTTCACTAGTTACGAGTGAGCGCTAAAACTGTCGCACAACAAACGAACAAACGGCTGTTTAGCCACAAAGGGCGAGAACGGAAGCTTGCGCTCGCACACTTTATAGCAATTTTGCGAAGTTGCGGGCCAAGTACACAAGTTCGACGTTCCGGACTGTACCCGGGTAGATTAGATTTGGCTTAAGAGTGGATGAACTGTCCTGCGATAAAAGCAGGTAATTCCGCGACGCTCGCTAACTTCGACACGACTTGGGCGCCCGGAAAATAATCAGCCGCGGGGTTGAGTCGGTATTTGTGCCGACGGGCCACGACATAGACAAACCTCCTTGTTCCAGAGAGCTGTTACCTACGGCAGCCCGACAAAAAGGGACCGTCTTTGTGCACTGTGAAAATCGTAAGATTGGTATCGTCGCACGACTGCCACCCGGTATTGCGCTTCACAACATCACCACTATAGTGGTCGTCACCTTTTATTTCGAGGGAAATTAACGACGACCACCGAGTAATTGTCGGGCGTTAAGCTTCCGCGGAACGTAATTACGCGAGGACAAAGCGCTGCACGAAGTAAATACGAAAACGCGGCCGCGGGACGAATTTGTCGCGGAGCTTTCGAGGCGATGAAACTTCTTTGGAACTCCATCGTCGGCTGTTCTCGTTTGTGCGAGAGTCTGAAGTTTTCTAATTGACGAAAAAGTGTCTTCACAGTAAACTCGCGACCAGACAATTGATATAATTTAGATGATAGCTATGT